CGTAAGCTCTTTGAAAAAGAAAAAAAAAAAAGGGCAAAGTAGGTTTCTCTCTTTTGGTTAGGATCAACGTTACGATTAGAGAAATTGATCTCGCACGAATGCACTCGGTGGTAGACCATTTCTAGGCACACATTAAACGCGTTATTGTTGCATCATACTACCCAAGGGTAGCAACCATTGTTTCCTATTGCCTGTAGCATACTTAAAAAAAAAAAAGAGGGGAATTATAGTTGCTCGTTCCAATCGTTCGTTCGTTCATTCGTTCGTTCGTTCAAGTGTTGCTCGCGTGTGTTACAAAAAAGAAATTGAAGCGAAGTCGAAGTTGAGTGAAGAAAAAAAAAAAGAGAGAAAGAGAAGGATTCAAGTAGTTTCAGGTTTCTCTCTGTTTCTTTCTTTCTTTTTTTATTTGTTCATACCTTTCGACGTCGTCGTTTCTTCTCGTTCGATTCTCCTCTTTGAACTTTTTGTACATATATATACTATATATATATATATATATATATGTATAGAGATTACTTACTGGTATCCCGGTTTGAGAATCCTCTGTGTATTTCACGTTCGGTGATCGAAAATAAACTACTAGTACTTAAAGAACTTCAAGACTTAGAATTCATTGTCCTAACTATCGAACCCAGAAGGTAGGACAATAACCAACCTTCCTACTTCGTTGGCGAGATTTAACGTTTAGCTAAGTGCACTGGCGCCCATTATCGGCGTTAATAAAGCTCACCCCACTCGTGTGCCGCAGCCATTACTCGAGGACGCTTCGCACCCCAGTCATTTCTTTTCTTTCTTTTTTTTTCTTTCCTTTCTCACTTTCTTTCTCTCTCTCTCTCCCTTTTTTTACATTTCCCTTTAAAGAAAAAAAATACCATGGTCTCCATACTTCTTTTTCCGCTTCTTCTTCTTCTTCTTCTTCTTCTTCTTCTTCTTCTTCTTTTACTTTTCTTTTCTTTTACCTGTTCAAACATTTTATTTCTTTTTCTATCCTTTTCTTTTTTTTGCAAGTAGACCTTTCCCTTTCAACCGTTTAACGTTAACGACGAAAGGGAGAATATATATCTTATATTATATTTCTTCTCTCTTTTTCGACAAGGTACTTTTTTAAAAGGTATGAAAAAAAAAACCTATCGAATTATCAAAGATATAAACGTTGAAATTTATTTCGTTGAAGATCATTTTTATATCTAATATGTATTTTGATCATCAACGAAATAATAAATGATTAATAAAATTAACATTTTAATTTGACCGTATGTGTACGTAGTCAAATGTTATCAGGGGCCCGGTAATATTTTTTAAGAATTAATTTTTAAAAAATGTTATTGTCATTCACAAAAAAATTAACATAAAACAAAAAACAACAAAATTAATTTTATATATAATTTTCAATATATATATATATATATATATAAAGTTATAAATAAAATAACGACAAATGTTCCGGCTATCACACACATATTGTGTAAGCGGCCATTAAAGTGTTAATCATGCAATCATCAATTTTTTGCAATCAAAACTGTTAATACATGTATGTATGACGGGTTGCCTATCTTTCGGGCAGAAAAAAATTCCGTCCCGACAGATGGCACTCGCAAGCAACACTTTCAAAGTGTGTATGGAGGGTTGCATTCATATAGGCGCGCATTTTTATAATAATTACAAAGAAAGTAAATAATAAAACACTTTAAAAAATGTTTGCAAATCAAATATTTTTATAAATAATGATGATTTATAAATAATGATATGTTTGTCTCTTTTTCTCTTCTTACGTAGTATTAAGGCCGTTTCTTTCCCTCACTACATCGTCCATTTCCTTTCCCCACTACATCACCGCGTTTCATTTTTTCAAATTACACCCATTCTAAAGAAGTTTTCACTTGAAATAAATGATGATAAAATCTCATAAAACGTAATTTGAATATTTTTCAACCCTTATCTTTCTAAACATATATATAGCTACGTACGATAAATATATGTATAATATAATATATATAAAGATATGTGTGTGATAGGTTTGACTGAAAGTCACAATGTGTTATATATAAAGGGATAAGTAAAGATAAGAGGTAGAACCCAGATGGGAGAGACGTTTCTAGTCCCTTGAAGGAACTGGCTGGCAAGCAGCCACTCTCCTACCAATAAACTTCTCGCCGATCTCTAAGGGTTGGTTGGCTATGGCGAACTACGAACGAACGAACGAACGAACGGGGATGTTCTCTCTCTTCCTTCTCCTCTTCCTTTTTCTTCTTCTATTCCTCCTCCTTCTCCAAGACTGTTAAACGACGACCGATATAAAGGGTGGAAAAGCTATACCTTCAGTTGCGCACGCGTCTTCGTATCAACGCGAACATTCCAATACACGAAGTTACACGTAAGAAAAAGAGATATTGTAATAATTAAAAAGTTGAAGAATAATTTTTACAATTAGTATTCGCCCCTAAGTTTTTATCTTTTATTCTTCGTGAATTCTTTGTTGAATTTTAAAGCGAATATTTTTGTTTTTTTTTTTGTTTTAAATGAAACAACGAAGAACAAATGATAATTGGTTAAAATAAAAATGTATTTATTACATTTGTAACTTGATTATAATTTCAAAGATATGATATATTTCATTCGAAGTATAATTGAATTTATATAAAAATTTAAACATTTTCGTAAAAGAAAATGAAATGTAATAAAGAAAAGTAATTAAAATGGATTCGATGACTTTAAATGGTTTAATTGTTATTAATTTACTTCTTTTTTTTTTTTCATTGAAAAAAAAATGTTTTGTAGATTTGAAAATTGAAAAATTGTTATTATTGTTGTTGAAACATGTAGAACAAAATAATTGAATAAATTCTTCGTGGAATTTAACATCACGAATAATAAGTATATATAACTTTGAACAATTCACAAGAGTCTACTTAATCGAAACTAAAACTAAAACTCAAACTCACAAAACACGTTTGGAGAAGAAGTAGCACCCTACCTACCTACCTACCTACCTACCTACCTACCTACCTACTATCTAATGTTCTTGAAAACTTCTTCGAGGATCGTGCCATCCGGTCTTGAAGGACGAAAGTGAAACTATGCGATTTTCTCGATAATAGAAGAGTACAGTCGCGACGGATGTCGAAGAACGGTGAACGAGCAAGATAACTAAAAAAAAAAGGAAAGAAAGGGGCGGAGGAAAAGAGGGGGTTGGGAGAATAGGAAGGGTTTGTCATGTATAGACACGTAGTTCCACGTCGGTTCGACTTGGAAATAGCAACGTGCGATAAACGAAGAAGAAAAGGAAGACAGATAAAGATAGTCAGATGGATAGATAGATAGATATATAGATAAATAAAAAGATAGAAACAGAAAGGAAGAAAGAAAGAGGAAGAAGAAGCGGGTGGTAGAGTCACGAGGGTTGTTATCAGGATTCCATTAACGCCGAAGGCACGAAGAAGGTAACGACACGAGAAAAGAGAGAGAGAGAGAGAGAGAGAGAGAGAGAGAGAGTGAGAAACGTCAGTTTCGCAAAGGGACAGAGAGAAAGATAGCAAAAGAGAAAGATGGAATCATAGAACGTCGTAGGAAACGTGAGAGAAAGATAGATATAGTGAGAGTAGCGGGAAATAAAGGTAAACGATAGAAAGAGAAAGAGAGAGGGTGGTCCTTCGAGGGTGACAGGGGCGTATCGTACGAGGGTGGCCAGCGACTGGCGTCGGGACGGCCGGCGTCTTATCGCACGACACCCTCCTCGTCTTCCTCTCCGCCTCTTTTCTCTATCTCTCTCTCTCTCTCTCTCTCTCTCTTTCTCTCTGTATCCACTCTCTTTCTCTTTCTATTTCAGTAGCAAACCAAAATCCAGTGACGCCTCGACGCGTTCACCCAGAAACCGACGATAAGCTTCGCCGGGCGATGGTTGCTTGCTTGCTTGCCTGACTCTGCCTACCACCTACTACTCGTTCCACATAAGAGAGAGATAGATAGTTACTGAGAGAAAGAGAGAAAGAAAGAGAGAGGGAAGCATACGAGACTAACTCACACGTTTAAAGGCATGCTTGATAGGAGGAAAAAGGATGAAAATCCATTCGAACGTTCGAACGTTCGTTCATTCGTTCGTTCGCTTTCTCACAAGAAAACATGTTTTTTTTTGTAGATAGCTTAAAGTACCAGTTCCAATAAGATCGATCCTATGATTTTGTATTATATATATATATATATATATATATATATATATAATATACAGGGTGATTCACCAGCTCTTGCCACCTAAATAGCTCCGAAAGTATGATAGTAGCAAAAAAGTGAATAAGGAAAAAGTTGTATAAAAAATTTATAACTACAACATGAAATTAATATTTTTTTGCTAGGTTGAGTCATTTTCGAGATTTATTGGTCAACTTTGTTTTTTTAAATACAATATGTTATATTTTAATACTTGTTTTCGGATAACGGCTAACAAGACGAATCAACATTAAATACAAAACCTGACCAATGACCAATAAAAACTATTCGGAAAATATCTGTTCCATCCGTTATTGGAACAAATAAAAGATAAAGCAACCCTTTTTTTGTCCCCCCCCCTCTAAGCCCGGTACCTGGGAGAGTGTCGGATTCAGCTCTCTTAAGGGTATACTCCAAGATCGGGCTAAAAAACCTTCCGATAATCTTAACGCTAACATGCAAAATGATGAGAGCATAAGGAAACACATAATCTGGTACGCCTAGTGCCCCGTCGCTGGTGAACCGGGTCGGTGTCCACCCAGTTCGCATTCCATAAACATAACACACACACATTCAGCACGATATTTACAAATAGTTGCATGGGCAGCTCAATAATTCCCTGAAGGCCCTTTACTCTACCTAGTAGGCCTAACCAATCGTGATTGGTTTTTTGGTTATTCAATTATAATATAATTTTATTGATAAAATTAAATTTGTTTTTACTGATATATCACTGGATAGTAAAATATTGGAATTAATATACTTATCGTTGATTTGTAATTTTGTTAATATTCCAGTGGCTGATCTCGAAGGTGGTACCCATTCCGATGAAACCAACAGCGGTGGTGATAACAGTAACGCTGGTAGCGTATCCGGTGGTGCCGACGACGATCAAGCTCGTTTAAGACTTAAAAGAAAACTTCAGAGAAATCGTACGAGCTTCAGCAACGAGCAGATCGACGCCCTTGAAAAGGAATTTGAGAGGACGCATTATCCGGACGTGTTTGCGAGAGAACGACTGGCTGGAAAGATTGGCCTACCGGAAGCTCGAATACAGGTGACTACGATATCTATTATTTTATTTTTATTAATGTCGTAACGTATGTACGTGTTAATGTACGTGTGTGTTTGTTTTTTGTGTGAACTGTTTTTTCTTTATTTTTTTCATTTTAAAGTTGAAAAATGCTAAATAATATTAGTATCAAAAGTTTAGAGATTTAAAATCGGTATTTTGATCATTCCACGAATTCGAAATCGTCGTCCTGCATTTGTGTAGCCTAGCGATTGACCTGTATCTTCGTCTGTCTTCTCACTCACTAACTCAGGTATGGTTTTCGAATCGGCGGGCAAAGTGGAGACGAGAGGAGAAATTGCGTACGCAACGGAGGGACAACCCGCAGCAGCAACAACAGCAACAGCAGCAACAACAACAACAACAGCAGCAGCAACAACAGCAACAACAACCGCAGCCTCAGCCACAACAACAATCTCATACGGCAGGTGTTAGCCTGGTGGGTGGTGGTCATCCTACGCCACCTCCACCTACTGGAATACTTGGTGGACAGGCACCACCGCAAGCACCACCGTCGCCACCAAGAATACACCATGGATTTGCACCGACCGCTGTTTATCCAGGAATACCTAGTATGCCGGACTCGTACAGGTAGGAAATAATTATATACATATATATATATATATATATATATATATATATATATATATATATTAGAAATTATTCGTTTGAGTTAAACACGCTATTTATTTATTTATAATCTTTTATTAAATAATAAATTTGTTCTTTCCAGTCCCATGACATCAATGCCAAGCTTCACGATGTCAGGTGGTAGTCAACAGAATCAACACACGACGAGCAGCATGTCTTCATTATCAGGCTCTCTTTCGGGTTCATTATCAGGCTCACTATCGGGAGGTGGAATGGGCCCAATGGGTATGACGGTTGGCATGACTGTTGGCCCTAGTCCAGGCGCGTGCCTTCAACAACGTGACAATGGTTACTCTTGTGGCGTGGCACGACCACCGAGCTACGAACCACTTCATTTGGGATACGGTGCGAGGCCAACCTGCAGTCCGACCCAGCCTTACCACACCGCGGGCCTTAATCAGTACAATCAGAACGCCAGCTCGACCGGTGAGTGTCTACCGCACTCACTGCACTCGCTGCTTGCGCTTTAGCCGATGGACTACTACTATGGCTACCACGGATAACACGCTATCGAGCCTGCCGGTAATGGAACTGAATCTCGCTTTTGCATCTAACGTGAATTTTCTTCACTACACTATTTGTTTTTAACATATTTTTGACCGATCACTTATATCAGAAATTAATTAATTATGTTTACTTCAATTCTGTATTATTACTTATTTTCAATATTATAATTTAATTGTTGCACAATACATAGTCAATTTTATAATTTTTAATTTAAGTATTTATTTGTAATTTGAACTTAATTATTAATATATCCATTACGATGCGAGCTAGATTTTTACGTATAATAACCGATCAAAATATATATATATATGTATATATCACAACGTTTTACAAGATATCTCTTACCGTGCATTCATTTCTCCAAACAATCACCGATCTTCATCTCTCACTCTCACTCTCATTCTTTCTCTCTCTCTCTTTCCATTTATTGTGTATCAATAAATTTAACAAGCAACGCATGATTTAATGCATGTATTTATTTTGATGCTGTATTATATATTCTAAATAACTAGTTAGATACATTCGCATAAATGGCCTTTTTATCGTTAATAATCCTAAATGTATCATCTATCTCTAACACATAATAACATTAATTTCCAATCGATACCAATACAGCCAATAATAATACAAATACATCAACATATTGTCCAGGTTTAATATCACCGGGTGTGAGCGTACCGATCGCAGTACCAGGCCAACCAGCACCAGATATGGCGGCGCAATATTGGTCACCAAGGCTACAGTGACCGTGGTGGTCCTCGACGTCGACCTCGTCCTCGTAGGCACGAGTCTCTTCGTCCTCGATCAGAACCAGAATTTGATATCGTCGATGATAGGGAGGACCACCAAGAAAAGAAACATTTCAAACAAAGAACTATCAAATAAGCTTCCTTTTATCACGAAAGAAATAAAACACGCGAAGTTTGATGATCGAGGGACTAATGTGCGAAGAATTCGAGTTTTTAAACGTCGAGTCAGGATCTTCTTTTTCTTTTCTTATCCTTTCTTTTATTTTTTGTTATTTTATTTACCCCGTCCCACCACCTTGCTGTCCCAACCCCTCCACCCGTCCCAATGACGATAATTAATCGTAGTAATCTGTGGAAAGAAGAGATTTCAATGCTTCTTGGAACAAAATTTGAAACGTTTAACAGTGTATTACGTATTTAGGTATACTTTAAGTTGCAATGAAAAGTTATAACTTTTATTTGTTTAAAAATACTGTATACTGTATATTCGTTTTAAATATTGTAGTTCAGTTTAAAAAATATATAACACTTTTATGTATTTTCATTCTATCTTTTGAAAAATTTGCCACAGATTACAAAAATTAATTGTCGAACGCGTACATATAATAATATGTTATATTAACAAATTTCATAATTTATGTTAATTCTTTTTGTTTAATTTTTAATTCGAGGAACGTGTAATTTGTATCTTCTGGGTGTACGTGCGATAGTTAAAAGAAAAATAAAACGTTGTAATATTACGCCCTGCGTGGCGTCAAGTTGGTACAAACCAGAGGTTAATTATTGAAGATGAAACAAACAAAATTATAAATATATATATAATTAACTATATATATATATATTATAAATATATAAATATATCATAGCGATGACAATTGATAATTATGTTTACTACGTAGTAGTCCATAAAAAAAAGAAGAAATGGAGGAAATGGTATAAAGAATTAAACAAAACAAAACAAAAAATGAAAAATCAGCTGAGCTTAACACATTTTATGTGTCTGTCTACGTGTGTGTGTTCTTTTTCTTTTTATCGTTGTACGTTGCCACACTTTGCGAAGAAACGAACTATGCGAACTGCAGCATACATATACACATGTAATTATACATATTACATAGCTCCACTTTTGTCAGAAATCTATTAAAAAAAAAAAAAGATTGATACGCCATAATGATACACCATAATGAACTTATACCGTTTTAAATCTTACACACTTTTTGCTTGTTACTCTCTATTAACACTAATTGCTAATTATATTTACATGCACACAAATAAATACATACATAAATACATACGTACATACATTTATAAAAATATTCACATAACAGTGAAAGGACATACGCTTATCTCGGGCTAAATATTTGACAAACGATGATCGCTGCTTCTATTTAATAAAACTGCCTTTGACGTGTTCAAAAAATTAGAAAAAGGGACACGAAATTGGCTCGATATTGAACAAAAAAAAAAAATAACGCACAGAAATAAATTAAAATAGAAAAAAAAAAAAAACTTGAAAAGAAGGAGCTACCCGAAAGAAAGAAAGAGAAAATAACAATGTAGTCAGACCTATCGATTATCGACAGTGTGCATTGTGCAACCTTCTTGTAAAATAATTTAGTAAAGGAGTGCAAAAATAAGAATGAAAGTGTATGTGTGTGTGTGTGTGAATGAGAGAGAGACAGAGTGAAATAAATAAATCGATCAATGAAATTTTACAACGTGTAACAAAAATGATATGATCTTCTAAAGAAATATCATTAACACGTTTCTTAAATTTCTTTCGATTGAATGACAAAAATCTAGGCAGCAAGTATGTAAACAATGATGATGATGATGATGATGATGATGATGATGATAATGAAAAGGAAGAAAGAAAATAAAAATTAAAAACTAGAAAACAACAAAAAAAAAGAAGAAGAATTAAAAGGACACAAAAAATAAAGTAATAGTTTCTAAGTCGACACATTACACCGCTATTATTTATATTCATGTAACGAATGAAAAAGGATACAAACAAAGAAAAAATAATAAAATATCGAAAATGATGATGATTATGATAATGATGGTGATGATGAATGTGTGTTATTGTACGTGTACACAGTGTCAGAATATCGGTCAGTCATTTATATACATATATACATATAGTTGGATCCTAATTCTAGAAAATGCGATATACCGGATAATAAATTAATTCGTAATTTATATTCCGGTGCAAAATCCGATTGAGAATGGGATTAAACAAAAATATAAGAAGAAGTAATTATATTAATAATGATAATTAATAATAATATTATAATAATAATAATATTAATAATAATAATAATTATAATTAATTAATAATAATAATAATAATATTAATATTAATATTAATGATAATAATGGTAATGAAAATAATAATAATAATAAAAAAAAAAAAGATAAACCGAGCGAATGTGATTCCCTTAGGTCAGGTATGTTAAACGTACGATTTATGCATTCTAAATAAATAGTGTGTGCATTTAAATTCATTCGTGAAAGAATTCTTATAAATAATATACATACATGGATTCATAATTCTTTTATTGTTTTTTACATATAAATATATTTTTTCTGTTCTTACCTTCCTTTTAAAAATAAGTAATGTGTATATGTATATTTTAATTATTCAACTTTACAGCTACGATTAAGAAGATTTCATTTACAATCTCCTAATTAAACTATTTGTTTATTCATTCTTTTCATCATAATTTAAACACACTAATAAATACTTCGTTAAAGTAAGTATATATATATATAACATTTTTATTAATAAAAATTCATTTTATATATAACTTGAAAATGTTTTATATAACGTGCTAGATAAAAATATATTTTATAAAAGAAAAACTTACATCCACTTCTATAATCACTAACACACATACACATAAGTTACGATTAATGTACAAAATACATTTGGTCAATCTAGAATATATACTTCAATTGGTTTTGTTAAAGTACATATCAGGATTTTTTTGAGAGTTTTGTCAGGGTTGTGTAAGGATTTTTTATTGTATACATTACCCGGATTCTGTACATTGACCGTAACTTACATATATATAAATATGTGTGTGTATCTTTTATGATATATGTGTTCATTGGACCAAAAATGTACTTTGTTTAACATCAAAGCATGCTTCCTTTTCACTCGATTATTATCACCTTAATAAATAATCGATACTTACCTCATTGTCTTCGCGTTAAACCTTTTCTAAACACTTTTAAGTTCACTACAGGGATGATATTCTAAAAAACAAGTTTGAGAAAATGAAAAGAACAAAAAATCTTTCTCTCACGTCTATATATATATATACTCAAGTATATAATATTTACGTATTTTATATAAGTATATAATATAATGAAGATAAAAGGTAAGAGAAAAATGAAAAGACATAGACGTGTGTATATATTTTGCAAATGTAACAATCATATATTTTTGTGGGGGGGAGGTTTCTTCTTGTCCTACTATAATTTATTTTATACAATAATTCTCAGTCGAGGATACGTTAAAGTCACGTAAACTATGGTTTTAACAAAAAATAGTAGAAAAAGAAGAAAAAAAAAAGAAGAAAAACAAAACAACATCAAATAAAAATAGCAATTTACTATTTGAAATCATAAGAAAAATGTTAATTAACACATTGCGTACAAATTTAGAAGATAAATTTTTCATACTTTCTTATAAAATTTCATAATTTCTGAAAAAAATTATAATTTTATTAAATTATAATTAATTTGAAATAAAGGGGGAAGGAAGAAAGAAATCAATGAATATATGTATATATATATATTTTAATATACATTTATTCATTGTATACTTTTTTCCAGAAAACAAGTATTTAACTGATACAAACTTTTTGAACTTGTTTACAAATTTTTCGGACTACAGATGAACATTGTTAAACAAACTTTATCCCCCTACACAATGTGTTAATTAATGTGTTAGTAATAATACTATTAAATTGTCTATAAAGATGAATAGCAAAAAACAAAAAGGAAAAATTAAGATAAAGTTTTATATGCACAGATAAAACGAACAGAGAATCTCGTCATATTTCCAACGAAGTTGTCCAACGAAGAGATGTGATCCTTTTTCTTTTTTGGAATTATTCATTTATTTTCTTTTTGTCCTATTTTATTTATCTTATTGCTTTTTATTCAATTCGAATAAAATGTTTCCTAATCTACAATCATTAGTTTGTGTGATCTAGCCCTTTGAATAAGATATTGTTAATTGTTTTGCTCCATGTTTCCTAGAAAAAACAAAAAAAAGAAAAACAAAAAAGAAACTTTCTCGAATTAGAAATTAAAAAAGAAATACATGGGCCACTTGATATTAAATGTAAAACATAATTCTAACAAGTCTCAATTAAAAATAAAGGGCTGATTATTTTGACAAAGTTAATTTTTAAAAATGACATTTAAAATCCTGTTCGTAATATTATACAAGAATATTATATGTTTATAAGTATTTTATAAATATATATAAAGAAATATTAATCTGTCATAGTCACGATTATAAAATATTTCGACAATTTTGTTTAAAAATCTTATTCACTTTGTTTTTTTTTTTTTTTTTTTTAAATCGTATCTTACTTACAATATTCTTGAATAAATATTTAGCCAATGATACACAACACTTGTTTGAAATCAAATTTAAAACGAAAACAAAAGAATGAGAACAAATTTCGAAAAATACAATAATGCAGTATTTCTGTTTTTAAAATTGCACTGATTATCTAATTATCAAGAATAATTAATATCCCTAATCTACAAATTATATCTTTTTTTTTTCTCTTCCAAGGTATCCAAACGGATTAACCATGCAATGTATTTTTCTAATATAATAATTAACTACAATTAAACACCTTGGTTTATATAGTTTTTATAAGAAACTCGTACTTTGATCATCTATCGATGAATAAGATGGCAACGATGACAGATACAAAAACGAATTAATAAAATATAAATAAAATTACATTAAACTCGTCTTTCCTAATTGTTTATGATTTACATAAACATATATGCAAACAAATATTTCCTATATAACATCTATATATGTATATGCACATAAGATGCATACCATTTTTAATTGATCTAAAAGTGTATGAATAACGATTAACAAAACAAAAAGATATTGACGAACAGAAAGAAAATTATAAATGCAAAAATGCAAAGAAAATATGGAAAAAAAGAAAATAATAAAAAAAAAAGATAAAAAAAATGTTTATTAAAATAAATGCCTATATCGTTTTTCTATTTTCTTTCTTTCTCTCTCTCTCTCTCTCTCTCTCTCTCTCTCTCTCTCTCTCTTTCTNTCTTTCTCTTTCTCTTTCTCTTTCTCTTTCTCTTTCTCTTTCTCTTTCTCTTTCTCTTTCTCTTTCTCTTTCTCTTTCTCTTTCTCTTTCTCTTTCTCTCTCTGTGTTTTGTCATCCATACCGCAGAAGAGGTGTAAGGGAGGAAGGAAGAAAATGACGATGATGAAAATACAAAATGATAAGATGAAAAAGATGTGAATGCGATAAAGAAGAAGAAAAACTTAAGTACTAAAAATGATTTTCTTCGTCCGAGGTAATCCAATTGCGCCTGATAATCTCCGAAGTAATTAGTTCAAAGTACTGGTTTGTCTTTGAGTAGTGCATCTATGTCCTTGAGAATATCATCTGATGCAGTATCGAGAGTAAGATATTCGTCTTCGTTAATGTTTAGCAAACTATCATAGGAAAATCTGCTAGCTTTCGAATCTTCAATAATAGTGTCCATTGACACGGTTTTGGCTTGTTCGTTTTCATCATAATTATTATATGTTTTAGATTCATCCTCGATTATCATACGTTCCTCGTCCGTACTGCTATCGCATAATCGTACCTCAACTTCGTTTCTTTTACTATTAGAATGATCTCTCATGTTAACTCTAACGTCCAAATTTTCATCGAGTCTCTCAGTTAAATTTTGTTCAATCCTTTCATTATCTACATCCATCTCGTTCATTTTTGTATCACTTAGAACAGACGTTTGATCAGACGTTAACAATAAATTGTTATCGTTTATAATCGTCGTAGGAATAATACCTTGCTGTTGTTGCTTAGAAATGACGGTTTCGTTGGTTGTGATATTATTGAGATGTCTCTTCGATGATCTTCGTAATCTAACAGGTGGTACTTTGGTAAAACTTTCGGTATTATTGTTATCTAATTTAGCTTTAACCCTACGATTATTTTCATCAGATTCTATCGTTCTTTTATCCTTTTCTAAAACTCCCTTAACGCCTCGATTAATTGTTAACGTAACGTTGGATATTCGAAGGGTAGTTAAGTCGTTAGTTTTAGTAGGATTCTCCGAGAGATCATTGGTTGGAGGAGTAGGAGGAGGAGTACTTTCATCGAACAATTTGGACAGATTAGATTTAACGTTTTCTAACAATTCAACGCCTTTCTCCAATGTTTTAAGTTTCTTGCGTTTACGTATTTCCTCCAATGATAAAATACCAAAGTTCAATTCATTGGTATCATTATCTTTCTTCTTATCGTTATTAACAACCTTTCTTCTTTTCTTCTCTGGCATCATAGATTCGTCTTCCTCGACGTTATTCTCTTCTTCATTTTGAATCTTGATCGTTGACGTATCAGCTTGAATTTTTCTTCGAATACCTTGAGTTAGTACAACAGGTTTGCTTGTTGTTGTTTTATTATAAACAACCTTGGGATATTGATTGTTCATGACTGAACAATATTTTCCCACGGGTTGTTTAGCAACAACTTGACTATCATCCTCATCGTTGTACGAATAATAAGCTGCACTTTCCGCTTGTATCTCCTCCAGCCTGATCTCCTCGTAGGTCTTGCAGTAGGGCACTCTTTGTCGTGGCTGCGTCTTTACTGGCGAAGGTATGCTTTCATTGTCCGATTCTGGAATAAAGAATATGAAAGAACGACAATGTTGTAGTACTTTAAACTTCATTTGTCAATAAAGGGCCGCGTCGTTTCGTTTTTTTCTCTCACCCTGGTTTTGTAGGTCTCATATGACTTTTTTTTTTTTTTTTTTTTTTTTTTTAATTATTTACTTTTTAAATATATAATATAAATATATACATGTATGTATGTAGAGAAGTAGTGGTATATGTCCATCTTTAAGATGCCATTTTTACTTTTTATACTGTTTTTTTTTTTTTTTCAATATCTTCTCCCATCATTTTGTGAGCTTAACAGATTCTCAGGGATGTTTCCCACCTTTCTTTTCATGTTTTTTTTGTCATTCCCATTTATTTTTTTTTTGTTTTTAATTTCTTTATTTTATTATATTAATACACAATTTCTTTCTATTTATTTATTTATTATCTATTTTTGTTTTGTTCGCATGTTTGTTTTATTTTCTTAATCTTTGGTATGCGACTCCAATCAATCATTACTCTCGCATTATTTCTTTTTTGCTTTTTCTAAATCTTCCATTAGATAAATTGTTATCGTATGGCTTTGATAAGGGATGCTTTATTATATTCTTTTTTTTTTTATTTTTCGTTAAAAGAGACTTCGACTGTAGCCACTCTCTCTCTCTCTCTCTCTCTCTCTCTCTCTCTCTCTCTCTTTATTGCTATGATATTATTTGGATATTTTTCAATAAAGCTTTTCCCATTAGAAAATTTTTCTTATATTATTTTTATTTATATTATTATTTACAATTTGCATTTATTATTTTGTATGTTAAACAGAGAGATCCGCGAAGAGTAAACAACGAAGAGCCAATCACCGTATCCACCTCTCCCTTTTGGTCAGCCATTCTTCTCCTCATCGGCCATTAGACTTGAGTTATTTTAATATTTATACATACATACATACATATACGGGGTGTTAAAAAAAAAACATTCAATATTCATATGGTAGATAGGGCATACTATGTTGAGAAAAAATGTTCTAGTAAACATAGGTCGAAAGGTCAACAGTTTCCGAAATATAAATGTTTTTATTTGTTATTATTATGATTAACTTCCTACCCATTTGCCGTTATTTACAGAAGATTTTCTACATGTTCACCATCCATTTCTACACACGCTTGGCATCTTCTTCTTAAAGAGTCGCGAACTCTCTCGAAAATTTCCACTTTTTGTCGAATTACTTGACAAGTATGGTGGATTCGGTTATGTAATTCTTCTACGTTGTTTATTGGCGAGGAATACATTTGACTTTTTAAATAACACTATAACAAAAAGTCCAAAGGGTTTAAATCGGGGAATCGAGGAGGCCATGCAACTGGTCCACCACGTCCAATCCACCTTTGACCAAACACCGTGTTTAAATACTCTCTCACATTACGTAAAAAATGAGATGGTGCTCCATCATGTATGTACCACATCGATAGCAAAATTTAAATAAGCCGGATTCAAAAAATCGTTGGTGAAGTTTTTGAAAGAGTGTATGAGAGGGAACCCTTCGATTAGGAAATTTTTCCGCGTAAAAATGTTTTGCTGCTAAAGCATTTCCATTGGCACGACCATACATAAAATGCATGTCTGCCATTTTTTCATTTGAATAATATGCCGACATTTTAATGAAACTTCGTAACTATCTAACAGATACAATTGCTGATCCACGACTAACCTCAGAACGCAATTTATAAACACTGAAGTAAATAATGCATGCGATGGAAGCAAGTAAGAAGTCAATCATCATAGTAGTAAACAAAAATGTTAATATCTTGGAAATGGTTGACCTTTCAACCTATGTTTACCAGAACTTTTTTACTCAACACAGTGTGCTCTATCTACCATATGAATATTGAATGCTTTTTTTTGAACACCCTGTATTATGTATGTATGTTCACTTACTCAGTAATATTTTATTTATTTCGTTTTAATTTTTTGAGTATGTTATTTTTAATTTTATTAATTTATATATATATATATATATATATATATATTTTTTTTATTTATTTATTTATTTATTTATTTATTTATTTATTTATATTTGTTATTCGTTTTATTTATTATAATATTTTTAAATTGATTTATATTCTTTATTTTGTCCGTGTTTATCCTTTTATAAATCGTCATTCAATCCAAAATGGGCCTACGATGGAAAAGTGTGAGGAGCGTGTTAGAATTTATTCCACGGATTTACGATCAGTTTTTCTTCATTCCCATCTTCGGCTCGAGAAGATTCGGTTTGTTTCTCTTCGGAATCTTCGATAACAACTGTATCATCTTAAGAAAATTTAAAAGTCACAAAACACTCTGCTTTTTTTGTTTTTATTTTCACGAGTAGTGTTATATTTGAAGTGTATGTTATATTAACATTATTGCTTTGTATTAATTTATTTGTTATTTTTAAAAATAATATATATATATATATATACGTCTATATATTATTTTTTTTTGTAAATTTATTACTTTATTATAATTGTTATTAATTATTAATTATTATTAGAAGAATATATAAGAAGTGATGGAAATGACAAAAAAAATGAAAAGAAACACTTAGGAACCATGGAAAGCGTATGGAAGAATTGGAGAGAATAATAATGAAAATATATGTTTCAAATTTGTTTTGTTAGTCACGTAACGAGACATACGATATAACGAATAAAACGAAACGACGTGAAAGTACAGGGATAAATGTAATGTAAAATATTGAATTTCGAGGACAAAAAACGTCGAAATAAAAAAAAAAAAAATTTTATAATAAAAAAAAAAAAAGTTCATGTTAAATCAAAATACAGAAATTAAACGAAAAAATAAAGATAATAATAATATTACAAAAAAAAATGAACGTCCGTTCAAGAATACATATATGTTGAACATGTACCTGTAATTATGACGGTAAACTTAATCAAAAGACAAATAAAAAAAGATTGATAAAAATTGACATTACGATTTATTAATATAATTTAATAATATATTAATAAATATAAATTATTAATATATTATTATAATTATATATATATAATTATATTATAATTTATATTTATTATTATATTTATTATATATATTTATAATTTATATTTAATATAATTTATATTATATTATAATTATATAATATAATATTATATATATCATTAATAATTATAATATAATTAATAAAATATATATTAATGAATATAAATTATTAAATATATATATTTATATTTTATTTTATTTTATCAAATAATTTATTAATAAAATAAATCGTAAGATCAATTTTTTTTTTTAAACAATTAACCGTCACAATAACTAATACATATTATATCGTAAGAAAAAAAATATTTTATAAGTGTTATTAATATTACAATAATAATAATAATTGCTGTAATATATGTATATCGTAATATAATCGCTGATAATTAACCAACTTTTATATATGTATATACATACATATACATATATATATATTGCTCGGTGTTATTTTCTTTCGAGGTACCAAGTTTATTGAAATCCAAATACCATCTCAATGAAAAGTATTAATTTTCATTTTTCGCTTACATCGATTCATATAATAATAGCGCATCGTGTGTATTTTTTTTTAGCATTATAATTCTTTTCTCTCTATACGTTTAATTAAACCCATATTTCGGTTGTATGTGTATGTGTGCGTGTGTGTATTTATATATATATATATTATTATGTATGATGATGCGTGTATGTATATATGTATATATGTATATGTGTATGTGTTGTGTTTTTTCACTAGGAAAAAAGGGCACAGAGAGTGGGAGTGTCGCTTTTTTTCTTTTTAATTATTAGTGTTTTTTTTTTTTTTCATTTTCATTATCATTATCATTATTATTATTTTTGTTTAAATCTTGTTATTTACGTCTTTATATCATTCTATCTTATTATTTTTTTTTTCTTTCCTCTTTCTCACGCCATCTCTCATATCCCGCGCGACATACGTTCGTATTATACATATACATGCACACGTATATATACATATAAAAAAAATGTATATATACCATATATTTATATATATGCACGTACATGTATATACGTACGAGATTAAGAATTATTTCTTACGTACTCCTTTTTTATTACTTTTTTTTTCTTGTTTGTTCTTTTTCTTTGTAACTTTTATTTTTTTTTTTTTTTTTTTTTATTTTATTTTTCCATTCGAAGAAAGCCGACGCGACGACGAACGCACTCCGATCAATTTTTTTTTCCGCCACATATTTTCTGTATTTATTTATTTAATTTATTTATTTAGTTTTTTTTTCTTTTTTCTTTCGCCG